GGATTGTCCATAAAAGTTGGTGATAAAGAAGAAAAAGTATACTTTCACTTAGGCTTGATTATTGGCGACAATTTGGGCTTGAACAGCATTTTAGATTTTGTTTCCAGCTTTAGTGCTAATTATTCTTGCAGATTTTGCAAAATTCATAGGGATTTGTTACATTCTGCTTCAATGGAAGATGAGAGTTTACTGAGGAACAAAACTAATTATAATGAAGATGTTTTGTTGAATAATTCAAAGTTGACTGGTGTTGTGAAAAATTCCATTTGGAATAGACTTACTGGTTTTCACGTTACTTTGAACTTTTGTGTTGATCTTATGCATGACATTTTGGAAGGTGTGTGTCATTATGATTTAGCTCAAATACTCGCTTATTTTATTAAAGAAAAATATATTAGTATTGATATTTTGAACTTTAAAATGAGGACACATTTTTATGGTGGATTGAATGGTGAGAATGCACCCCCTTGTATTAATGAAGAATCATTGAAGAAACTTCATTTGCGAATGACAGCGCATGAAATGCTTATGTTTGTACGAAGCTTAAGCCTTCTTATTGGTGATAATATACCTAACGATGATCAATATTGGCGTTTGTATTTGTTATTACGTAAAATAATTGATGTTGTCATGAGTCCAATTGTTTATGAAGGCTTGACTGTGCATTTGAACGCACTTGTGAAAGAACACAATGAGCTTTATGTTTCTCTTTTTGGTAATCTTAAGCCAAAACATCATTTTCTTACCCATTATAGTAGAATTATGTTGAATGTTGGCCCACTCATTCATACGTGGTGCATGCGCTTTGAAGCTAAACACAGGCAACCGAAAACTGTTGCCAAAAGTACTCAATCAAGAAAAAATATTCTGAAAACCTTAGCTATAAAAGAGCAGTTAGCTCAATCAGCAAGAGTGAATTTCGATATGTCAGATGTTCAGAAATTCGGCAAAATGTCTCAAGCTGATGTTCTCAGTGACTCTGATTTGCAACCTTTTATTCCATTTTTGCCTGCTTCTTGTCAGTCTCATTCCGTGGTCGTTAATTTTGTTAAATTCAAAGGTGTGGAATACAAAGTGGGATCATGTGTTATCATAACAGCAGATGAAGAGTGGGGCCAACCGTGTTTTGGGATTGTGTCGTACATTCTTTTAAATGAGCAGGAGGATTTATTTCTATTGTTAAAAGTGTTAAAGACGGACTATTTTGATGATCATCTTCATTCCTATAAAGTTTCTGCTTCAACCAATGGTACCTACACTTGTACTTCCATAAATGAATTATTTTGTCCTCATCCAGTTATTTTAAATGAACAGGGATCTGTTAAATATGTAACAGTTAATTATATGTTGTAAATTTTAATTTTTCTAATTATAATTATTATCACAAGATTATATGTACATTTCAAAGGTCTATAATAATTTTCATTACTTTATTAACGTTTTGTATGTATTATATTATATGTATTATCATTATATTATACTTATCGTAGATGTTACAAGTTAAGGTGCATCTACACCAAAGCAAATTATCCCGGCGGATTAATCCTCGCGATAGCGTAGACAGTTAAAAATTATTGTCTATGCACTTTCACGGACTGATCCGGCGGATCGACTCGCCGAAAAAAATTGTTTAGGTGTAGACAACCTTAAGAGATTACAATAGGGGTATTCAAAAATTGAGTTTAACGGTTTGACAGGTTATATCGGATTAAAAGCAGTGTTTCCCAAAACTTGATTGGTTCCCAAGTTGCTTTTAACCCGACATAACCTGTCAAACCGTTAAACTCACCTTAACCCCTTTTATTTAAATACCCCTAATATTTAGACTTCTAAATATTTAGAATATTATGTCAAATATTTTCATTAATTATTTCTGTAATAAAAAGAAACTGCTATATATTTGTTGTTTTATTGACCTATGCGTTTACTAAATTAGAAAAGCTACATTATTTTCTAATTTAGCTCTCACACAATATCCGAAGAAAAGTAAAGAGCAACACAACAAATATATTCAGCAAAATGCCTATTTAAGGTTTGAAACTTTGATTGATGCAAGCGTCATCACAGATAAATACAAATAGCATATATTCTATAATTATATAGCTGTGGAGCTAAACTGTTAAAGTGCTTAGCATACGGTGCTCTGCAAAATCTGTTTGGCTGTGCATCTATATTTATTGCTGTGCCTATAGCGACGAAAAGTATTGCGGCAGAGCAATATTTTTAACCACAGAGCTATAAATTTTTTTGAGTGAAGGACTAAGAGCCGTGACAGGGTGTCAATGTCTAAATATTTCATATTTTTTATGTATTGCGAAAAATATTTACCATATAACATTTCACTGGTATAATTATACTTACACTGACATTAACTTTTTTTTTACCTAAGTAAACAGATTTACTTGAAATTATTTTTTTACACTGAAGTAAATATTTATTCTATTTAAAGAAAAATATCAAATTTCAAGTAAATCTATGTATTATATTAAGTAAATTAATTTAAATCAGTACATTTTCTACGTTCAAATAAAGATTTCATGAGATATAGA